CTTTGTAACTCGGTCATCCATTCTTGATAGAGAAACTAGAATCTGTCAGATGTAAATTTAAATGTGTCACTCACCTTCTCAAACCCTCTGAAAGCGGCATATCCTCCCTAAAGTAATACCCCAAAGACTCTTGAAGGTGCCCTGGGCCTGGGCTCCAGTTCCCTTGCCTTCCTTCCTGGCTTTTCCAGCCCTTGCTCCACCTGCACACTTGACACTGCTTCTGTGAAGTACACCCAGTCTGTGATGCTGTGCCCCCTATGCCAGGAATGTTGATGTGCCGGCTGGTGTCATCACTCCCTGCCCTCCTCTGGTTTGCTTAGCCCCCTCCTTTCACCTTGTGCTTCCTTACCTTGCTTTTTGACTTCTTCACAGCAGCCAGCATTGTCTCATTTCATATTTATAAGTTTACTTGTTTATGGACTTTCATTCTCTGTGGAATTTCATCTCCTCCAGGGCAAAGATTTGTATCTGTTTGGTTTGTGAGGAAGCCCTTGACCTCAACAGGTCATTCAGTGGGAGCATAGCAAAGGTGTTCACTGGGGGACTCTATCTCAGTTTGGTAGCTGCTATGCATCTCTGACTTTTGGATGGAAGAGAATGCAGCTCAAGCAAGCCAAGCAACTTGTTCAAGCTCTCCCAGCTGACTGGGACTGAAGCCAGGGTTGAGATGCCTCTGAGGCCTGCAGACCTCCACATTTAGGATTTCTCTAGCAGATTCCCTCCAGTACCATTATCCTTGCATGGAAACAATTCAATGCCATGATTTAGGTGTCCCTAAATGTTTTCGGACATCTATATTACAATGTCCTGTTATGCAATGACTACTGTGTTATACAGACATGCTTCTGCCCTTTGGCTCATGAACATACTGCAGTGCCTCCCACAATCTTACACATGGCTGCTAGCTTCCAGATGAGGTAATGGATGTCACTTCCTAAACCTAGAGACCTCTGGTCTCTGAATCTTCTTACTTTTGAATACAGCAGGGCCACCCAATGGAGAAATGGATAGGCCCGTGGATGCTCTGGCTGGCTAGTCATTAAAAATGAAAACTGGTTTCTTTTCTATCTCTGAAGGTCAATCAGTTTCAGTTGCTGAAGGTTGGACCCTTCTAATGTGCCCAGAACTGTCGTGGGTTGGGTGTCACTATGCCCTCTGGGGTTGTAATTTAAGGGAAGACTGGTTCCCCGATCTGTGGGATTTTTGAATATTCAAGGCTGGCACTCCACTGGATATGGAGCCCTCAGAGATAGATGGGGCTGCCTGTCCCCGTGAACTGGGCAGACACCTGAGCACTGGAAAGAGGATACTGAGAAAGTAGAGTCAAGTACCCAGGATGGATGGACTAGCTGGAGAACAGGCAACACTAACTGAGCAAAGCCCATATTTTGCCAAGTTTTTGGACCATGTAATCCCTGGGTTATTATGTAGCCAAGGAAGGGGAAGTTTCCCCACTTGAAAAAAAGCTATTTCCTGCCCACCACAACTGGTTTAACTCTACTTGAAGCAAATGGACTTTTTTCACTAAATATTTTTTCCTATCTATTTTTCAATCTTACATGTGAACAGGAAATAATACTGCATATAAATAATAGTTTATTCACAACTCTTTTAAGCACTAAACTACTAGAAAGAAGAATTTATACCTCCTACCCAGTAGTACTGGGTATAAATCTCAGATCACAGATATTTGGAAGAGTTTTGTTTTCCCCATGGACAGTGACAGTTGAGGCCCCAGGAACACAGCCCATGGGTATGAGGGGAGCAGAAACTGCTGCCAGATGGGTTGTGGGGCTGGGGATCCCCACCAGAATTTGACCCTTAAGCAAGGGCTTAGACTAGACCCTTGCTTAAGGGTAGAGAAAAAGAAACAGGTCAGATGGATAGTGTGCTGGGTTTGTGTTCCTACCAGCCTAGAGATGGCCTTACTCTGCAGAGAGACATACACATAGACATTTGCCCATGTACCTCCCTTGTTTCCCATGTGGGCAGTGTGGAGACATGTTTTGTCATAGGCTGCCTTTTCGAAGCAGAACCCTGACCTTCAACCTCATTCCTCTATGTGCCTTTGACAGCCTCCTGAGGTATGGGCTGGTGGTGTGTCTCCTCAGCCTCTTGCTAGCATAGACCAGGCTGGGGCCTAGATCTCTGCTCCCATTCTTCTCCATTCTCAGTATACAATGTAAGCAATGAGCTGTTTGAGAATTTAACACATTAATTTGGTAAGTTTGGATTTTAAAGAGGTGTTTACCAAGACTGGATGATTGAAATTCCAATCAGACAAAATATAAATCAATATATGATACTGTAGTCTCCCCTTATCAGCAAGGGTATGTGTTCCAAGACCCCCAGTGAATAGTGCTGGATTCCAACATAGATTGTTTTCCTATACATATATACCTGTGATAAAGCTTAATTTATAAATTAGGCAAGGTAAGAGATTGATGATAATAACTAATAATAAAATAGAATAACTGTAACAATACATTGTAATCAAAGTTATTTAAGCTTACAAGTTCATCATTTCTGGAATTTTTCCATTTAATATTTTCAGAACATGTTTGATCATGAGTAACTGAAATGTGGGAAAGTAAAACTGCCAGTAAGGTAGGAAGCTGCTGCATATGGCCAAAAAATACAGGAAAAACAACCAAGAGAAGAACCAGCTTTTGTTAAGCATGATATGTCTGAAAGGAGAAAGACAATGTAGTAGACTCTACATATGCACCTTAAACAGGACTCTGAGCTTCAAATGAAGCAGTGTGTTAGTGCAATTACTCTGATACCAGCAATCTCTGGGGTTGAACTCCATACAGGTCTGAGCTGCTGCTGCATTTAATTGAGAGTAATGCATAAAACTGTTTTCTTCTCTATGAAGGGCGAAACTTGTTTAAAATACCATATCTCAATTAGTCACATGGAAGCATCATTGAAATAGCCAGCTTCCACAGCAGGTGGTTCAAATTACTGTCAACCCCTATGAATTGTTTCATGCTTGTGGATCAGTCATTGCTGTGGAGGTGAGACAGAGCAGGGATGTGGGTGCCAATCACTGAGGTGTTTTTGATGGCTGTGCAGAAGCTGAGATAATAATTTGTCCACAGTCACAATGTGAGTTCCAGTACAGTGACTGGGGAGACAGACCCTGTTCTAAAAATCAAGCACACTGTTAGTGAGGCTCTCCAGGTCCTATGACTGAGATATAACTGCAAATGTGCCCAACACAAAAAAGTCCCACGAATCATCATCCCTTTCTCAGTGTAGGTGCATCCTGCACCTCTCTCTTGCAGCAGATGGATGAGTATTATTCTGACAAGCAATGGCTTAAAACCAAGAATACACAGAAGCTCCAAGCTGGTCAAAACATCCAACACATTACTTTTTGGATGTTTCCCATTTGCCCTGAAGATCTACACTCTACCCTTCTGCACGCCATTCTCCTCCCAGAAGGTGAGCATGGACCACATCAATGAAATCTCTGCCATCTGTCCTACTAGTGAACGGCACTGGTCAGAGCTTGCATGGTGGAAGAAGAATATGGTTGGAGTCTTATTTCTCCATCGTTTTCTCTCTCTCCAAAGCCACAGCTCTCTCCATACAGCTACTCTCACCCCTTGACTTTCTGATATGCACAAGGGTGGCAATGGCCTCTCCTGGGCTACTGCCTGGCATGGCACTGTCATTCACTGGTATCCTCAAACCCTACCCATTCCTCAGCAAACAGTCCCTTTACAGAATCCCTTCATCTCATTAGGTATTGTGGGTCATCTTTCTTTCCTACTAGGGTCCTGACTAGTCCTCCCACCAATGTATAACCTGTAGATCCTTCATTACTGGTTTTTTTCTGAAACACTCAAAGGTGCTTAGCAATTTTCATTGGGTTTTGGCCAAGAGATAAAAGAAGCTCCATTCTCTAAGAGTGCATTGTTGGCTGCAGCCCTCAGCAGAACACTCTCTCCTCTAGCCAGCTCTGCTTTCCTGTTTGTCTGGAATGTCACACTGGGGTGCATCTTCAAGGGCCAGGGATCTGGAAGTGAGGCCACTCCCCAGCAGACAGAAAGAACTGGCTGAAGGCCAATCAGAATGAGAAGGCTATGCTTCCCATCTATAGCAGAAATGCTTCCCACGGATTGAGAACTCTATGTCCACTTCCAGAGGTGTGTGGCTTGGGAAGAAGAGCACAGAGTCTTCTAAATTATGTTTGTAAAGTTATGAATGTAGTTTTGCTATAATTTATACTGCAAGTGATCAAGAGTGGATAGGTATATAACTTTGCCTCAGGAAGAACCTTTTTCTGTTGCAGACATTGGGTTTGAACTACTTACTTTTTCCAAAGGGACTTCAAAGAAGAGACATTTGTGTTGTTCCCTGAGTGTCTTCCTTGTTGGAATATTAGGGTGAGGAGGAAATGTTCAGGAGAAGGAGAATGAACTTAGGCTTTGCTTCCTCAACCCAGAGGCCAGAAAGGCTGAGAGGGCAAGGGACTGACAGCTACATGAGGCATGTGCCACTGAGTACTCAGAGAGCTTCACAGGCCAGCTGTGTTCTCACCTTTGCAGACGGACAGCTGAGGCCCAGAGAGGTTACACAACTTGCTCATGTACATGGGAATAGACAAGAGTCTCCTATTTTTCTTTTAAGCTCAGGATCTTTCTTATCTTTTGTTCATCACCCATGGAGGAGCAGCATGGGTAAAAGAGAGAAGCAAGGCAGAGAAGCATGGAGTTCTCTTGGAGGAGTAGCTGGGATTTAGGAACAAAGGAAACAACTCAGAAAATATCAGCAAAGCATAACCTGCTCATATGCCCTACATCCTGCCAGCCCCAGGTGGGATCACATTCAGTCTTTACAGAAGGTTTGGTACCAGCACTGAGAGTCCTGATGGATCACTGCTGGGAACCTCAGAACATGCATCTCCCTCTTGCTCACTGAGTGGGTTAGGCCAGCTCGCTCAGTCACTGAACCTAAGGAAAGTGAGCCTGATGGCAGAAGCAACTCACCTGCCTGCTCCAAAGCTACCATGGTTGCCTGCTCTATCAAGTCCCGCTCGATGAAGCTCCTGAAGTCCTCACTGTACACACTCAGATCTGGCAACTGGAATGTGTAGATTGGCATCTCCAGAGGGAACTGTTCATTGTTGCATTCATTTGCTACGTGTGACCGGGCCAAGGAGACAATGGCTGAGCTGGCGTGAGAAATCCCCCGGGAAAGTCGCTTTTCTACAGGGAAGAAGAAAAGACAGCCAGAGTAAGTCTAATAAGTGTGGCTCTGTGTACATGCAAATACATGAGAACACACAAAAGTCCTCATGCATGCACACATGACACCCAAACACATGTGTATGCACACACCATGCACATTCATTTATACATAGGCACACAGATATACACAAGCATATTTCTACCCTGCAGGCCTTTCTGCTGTGCGAATAAAATTTCCACCACCCAGTGTGTCACTTCCTCATGCCTGGCACAGAAGCACTCAGAGGTGAGCTGCAACTCCACTGCACAAGTGCACATTAAAATTGTCACAGGGCACCAGGCTTGCTTTTGGGTCTGTAGTTACATTTAACTTAATTCATCAGAGCTGTCCTCTCCTAGCATTGAATGGCACAAGGGTGGCTCCTTATTATTATTTTTTTTTCATTTACGTATTTAAAGAAATAAGCGACCTACTCAAGCTTTTTTCCCCTGTTTCTAAGATTTTTAAAGATAGGTTATTTTACTAACATTCCTCTGATAAACACCTCCCACATGAACATCCTTGGGATATAAACATGAATCTTTACCTGTGTTTCTTTTCCATCTGTAAATACTTTTGTCACAGCATTCTCAGATATGATGGTCTACTCTGGTCTTGTTCTAGTCTAGGCTTTCTAAGCAATGAATAGTAATGCAGTGTAGAATCACCTAAAAAGTATGCATCTTTGTTCTCTTAATGCAGAAAAGCATATTTACTTTTTAAAGCCCTGTGTTTAATGGCTACATTTAACTTAAACAGGAATTCTTAAACATATGATGTGGGAAATAATTTTTCTTTGTTACAGTGAGTATTTGTAACTTTTAACAACAGTTCTCTTATTTTCCTCAGGAAAGGAGGATCACCAGTGTTTGAACTTGATTATTTTATAAACCCTGTGGAGAATTCCTAAGTATATTCCCTTGATTTATAAGGACCCCCATTTTATTTCAGATGAGCCTGCTCACTGGTAAGGATGCCCCCTGGAGGTGCACTGCTAGTGGACATACTATGGACATACAGAAAATCCCAGCCTGCACCTTCCTCCAGAGCAGGAGCTTCCTACATGCTCATTTATAGGATTAGCAGAGAGAAATGACATTAGTAGAATTTGGCTACAACAGACTCATAGGCAGAGGCTTTTGATCCTGTGTTAGTTTTTAAATTCAAAATTAATTCATAGAAGTCTCATGTATTTGCCCACTTAAATGAATGGAAAGTCAAAGACACAGAATATATTTATGGTTTTGATTTGCCCGCAATTTCATTCTGAGACAACAGGACTAAGTTGTTTTAAATTTTGAGAAAAAGCAAAAAGAGATGTATAATCACAGGCCTTTAAAAAGAAGAAAACTGGAACACTTGGACCTGTCATGTGTTGATGACCATTGTTTCCTCACTTGTTCCAGATCTTTAAGAGCAGGAGCCAAGGAGAGCCCAAGTAGATCTGCCTCTTGCATACCATGCTGAGCTCACGTATTTTTCATAGAATTTGTTTTTGAGTTTGAGAAAGAAGAAACTGCCTGGAACTGCCCCATCTTTGGGGTGTAATGGAAATGGACTTCAGATATTAGAGAATCGAGAGGCCATGCACACTCATAATCTGTTGGCCTTGGGTTGGACATCTTCTCCCCAGTCAGCCCACAAGGCTGCTGCAAAACAGTGGGAATTTTTTAACCAGGGGCAACCATTCTCCTTCTGCATTTAACAATCGGTAACAATTTATCAATTTATAAGATGCAATTAGGATCTTACAAACATTGTGATTAGAGGTAAAAAGTGATTAAGAAAATTTAAACATCAAATATTTGGAATCAGTCTCAAGAAAAAGCATTTTTTTAACTAAAACAGATAAATTGAAGATCATATAATTAAAATATATGTTTCTAATTCTGACACCTCTCTGTCCCTATCATCACCTCCACGACTGCACATGGGTAACCACAGATACTCACATACTGACTTTTATTTTTCAGTGCTGGGGATGGAACCCAGTGCCTTCTACTTGATAGGCAAGTGCACTCAGTCACACTCTCAGCCCTGATTCTTTAAACGTGAACCCAGTGATTTTTCTTTTAGAGGTATAAATGAATAAAACATTTTATAAAAATTACCATGTTCACAGTTGTGCCTCATGAAACAGGAAGATAAAAAATAAAATCACAGTGAGAGCATGTACAGAATTTTCCACCTGCTGATAAAGCCAACTCCAACATTGATGATTTAGGCCAGGGGAGGTACATGACTGTATTTCTGGGTTTTTTTTTTTTTTTTGTGTGTGTGTGTGTTTCTAAGATGCCCCACCCAAGGCCAAGCAAGTCTTAGAGGATGACTCTAAGGAGTGAATGTTTCATATGCAAACCAAGTAATTCAGAGTTTGAACCAGGTCTTCTGTCTGGCTCTGGGGACCCAGGACCCAATATTTCTTTGCTTTAATCACCCTTGGGTCCAGGTACCAGACAATCAAAGACAGGCCCCATGCCTCAGAGCCCACTGAAAGGATGGCAACTAGCCAGTCCAAGATCTGCTTGCCTTTCCACAGAACACATAATAAGAGATCTCACCCATGCTCCCCTCCCCATCCTGCTTCCTGACCCACCCTGTGTGCCTCCACATGGAATGCAGTTTTCAGGCAATTGTGAGGAAAACCTTCTTCCCCCATCCTTTCTGTGTCTGTGTGTCTTACTATACTTGATTAAAATAATCCTGAGTACATTTTAAAGCAGGTGGACAAGACTTTCATTGAGAGACATATACAAATATTTTAGACTCTGTAGGCCACACAGACTTAGTATTGAATACTCTGTAGCATTAAATCAGGCATAAACAATACATATGTGAATGGGCATGGAGGTGTTCCAATAAAAAATTATTTAGAAAACAGGCAGCAGCCCGATTTTGCTTTAGGGCCATCATTCGTTTACCTATGATTTAGACTGTGGAATGCTTTATTTATTTATTTTTTAATCACACTTTGATTTCTGAAAGACCTCAACTAGGAGAGACATAAACTTGATTCAGAAACTATATAATTTGTTCTATTAAAAATCAATATATCTGTCTTGTAGACTTATTTTACTGTGAGAGATTCTTTTTTTTTTCTTGAACAATATCTGGTAAAATTCCAATAGAGCCGGTGCCAGTGACACTTATTAGGCCATGGTTCTGCCAATTGCTCTAGAAGCCGAGAAGCAGGTCCTTCTAGCATTCTCACAGGAGGATAAGATAATGGCAAGGATGTTTGCTGTCCGCAAACCTATGTTTGAGCAGGAACTGCCGTATTGACACCTGCCTGGAACTATTGCTGTCTGAGAGGGACCAAGAGCTTAACTCTGTGAGTCTGAAGGCATGGACAGTCTGGAGGCCCTCGGGGAGAATGGAAGAACATACCTGTCAAAGTAGTCCCTCCTGAACCAGATCTAATGGCAGAAAGGAAGCAGACCTTGAGAACAATATAACAAGAAGCACAAGACAGTGCACAAGCCTCAGCATTCTTCCCCTAAACCTTCTCCAGGGATGCATAGGAGCAGAGGGGTGGGAATGGGTGAGGCTCCACAGGCTGGGGCTGGGAGAGCATTCTGGTTGTGCCTTTGGTCTCCCCAGCAGAGCCCTGGCAGGTCACTGCCTCCCCCATTGTCACTGCAGTGTGGGTGAAGAGCTGCTCGAGCCAATGCCTGCTGAAGGATACTGCCAGGAAGAGGCACCAAAAACAGTGAGCACACACACCCTGACACACCCTGACAGCCTGGCAGTTACCAGAGAGTAGGCAGCCCCTGGAAACAAGCCATTTCTTGAACAGTGATGCTGGGAGGTTCCCTGAGGAGAAAAGCCAACTATGGGGAAGGCAGCAAGTGGGGAAAGTTTAGAGCCTGAATTAAAACATTCAAGGCTCAGCAATCCCAAGAGTGGGTATATATCCTAAGGAAAGGAAGTGAGTATGTTAAGACATTGCATTCCCATGAGCACTGCAGCATAACAGTCAAGAAATGGAACAACCTAAGTGTCCACCAGTGGATGAATAGATAGAGAAAATCTGGTGCATATATGCAACAGAATACCATACAGCCATAAAAGAATGAAATTCTGTCATTTGTGACAACATGGATGTACTAGAGATCATTAAGTGAACTAAGTCAGACACAGAAAGGCAAATTCCACAATATCTCACTCAGGTGTAGAAGCAAAAACAACTGATCTTGAAGAAGTAGAAAGTAAAATAGTGGTTATCAGAGGCTGGGGGTTGGGGGCTGAAAGAAAGATAAACTGAGGTTGGTGGTTGGCTACAAAATTACAGCAAGATTGGGTAATACATTCTAGGGTTCCACAGCAAAAAAAAAAAAAAAAAAAGGATTACTGTAGTTAATAATAATGTATTGTGTATTTCAAAAATAGCTAGAAGAAAGGATTTTGAATGTTTATAACACAAAGAAATGATAAATGTTTGAGATGATGGAAATGCTAATTACCCTGATTTGATCATAATACATTGTATATGTGTATTAAGATACCCTCCATACCCCATTAATACATATGAATATTATATGTCAATTTAAAATAAAAGAAAAAAAATGAGGCTTTTTAACTTCAGTGCTTTTCTTTCACAATCTCTTTCAGAGGAAGACTAGTCCAGAGCCCAATGCCTTTCCCTGAAGTATGCTGATATGGCTGATAACCACAGGCACTAGGAGCTCACAAGGACATGTGGGAAACATCTTATGAGTGCAAGCATAGTTAAGGGAAGTCCACAAATGGACCAAATTTAAAAATGAACCTCATAAACATGTTCAATGAGATAAAGAGAATATTCGAATATGAAATGCTACTAATGACAAAGAACTAATTTGTAATGAAAAATGCAAATGTTGACTCAAAGTGGATGCATATAGAAAATGAATCAGGAGGTCAGGATATCAGGGTCAAGCAAAGCTCTTAGCAGATATGAAATAAGAAGACATTGGAAGAAGGGTTGCAAAGAGTTCAAGGAAAATAATTCGAACTGAGAATTTTTATTCCACTAAACAAAAATGTAAGTCTATCAAGTAAATGTATACAGGCACTTAAGGCCTTAGGAGATTCACTAGGCCAAAACACTTTGGAAGTAGTCTTTGAGAAAATATTCTTTCAGCAACAGAGAAATGAAAATAGGCATGTGTCTCTTGAGGACAAGGATATATTCTGAGGAATGCATCACAGGGTAAATTTTACAGAGTGTGCTTATAAGAGACACAGATGATGTAAGACATTCTCTTGATGTGGCCACCTGCAATCAAGAGACATGGTCAACACTACAAGTGTGAGGCTGTTGCTAGTGTAACCTGGCACACTGTTTCACACTAAGCTATATTTTTATAAGTAGGATAACACTCTAAAATAATGATAAAAAGGATACTATAGCAAAAACCAGTAACACACATTAACAGTCACCTGTTATTCTTTATGCTTTTCTTTTTTTTTTTTTTGGCAGTGCTGGGGATTGAACATGGGTTTTGCCCATGCTAGGCAAATGCTCTACTGCTGAGCCACATACCTAGCCCAGCATATTATCCTTCCTTATCAAGTAACATGTAATTTAATATCAAATATCAATACTTGGTAATGATAATTAATGCATCATACTTTTATATGACTGGCAGTGAAATAGATTTGCTTACATCAGCATCACCACAAACACATGAATGATGTGCTACACTGTATTATTACATTGGCTGTGACATCAAAGGTGATTGGCGAAAAATTCTCAGCTCCATGATAAACTATGGGACCACCATTGTAGGTGTAGATTGTCATCACCGAAATGTCAGTTTGTGACATGTGACTGCAAATATGAGCAAACAAAGAAGTTAATTACTTCTTTACAAAATATACAAAGGCAACAGAAAGAACGTAAGTATGATTAAGGCCAAGTGGAGGTAGAAAGAGGGAAGGTAAGAGCACATGGATACACATGTATTTTTCAGGGTAAAATATAGTCGTCAGCAAGCTTTTTAAAATCATAAAAAGAAAACCTAAATACAGGTTTTAGTAGATTAGAGGTAATGTTCACCCAAGTAAAAATAGAATGCATACTTTTGAGAAGTAGAAAAAATTAGAAAGAAACAAAAGATAGAAAAGAGAAAAGCACATGAAAAAGCTTATCAAATAAAACATAAAATGTAAAGAAATACAGATATGAAGAAATTGAAAACTAAATAAACTAATGGTAAACTAAGTGAATTAAATTCCATACTTGAAAGACAAAGACTCTTGAATTATACAAAAAATATGATGATAAATAATCTTCAAGAACTACGTTTACTATGAAAAGATATGAAAAGTTTGAAAGTAACTTAGAAAATGACATTCTAGGCAAATATGAACCAATGGAAAGCCAGGGTAATAGTGTAATATCAACAAGAACCGATTAAAGGATAAAATCTTTACATGAGACAAAGTGTCAACTTATATACTGGTAAAATAAGAACGCTAGAGCAAGATGATCTAACACTTATAAAAACATATGCATCTAACCACATAACCTCAAGAGAAATACAGAAAAAAGGATAAGATTAAGGGAGAAAAAAGATAATGCATATTATAATTTCTAACTCAATTGTGTTTTTTTTTTTAAGACAAGGTAAGCAGACAAAAGAACAATCTAAGATAGCTTAGATAATGAAGCTGAACTACAGAAATGAAAACAACATTTACAATGATTTTGGAGGACAAAATTGAACCAATTAGGTAAATATTAAAGAAGAATTCAAAATAATTTTAGATGATATGATTTTTATATATCTAGAAAACCCAATTCATCCCCTGGAACTCGATGTTAATATTAAGAGAATTTACATAGGTGACTGAATAAAAGATAAGTAAAAAATGAGTTGCTTTTTCTATACCTAGTCTTAACAGTAAATGAGTACATGAAGAAGTATAATAATTTTCTGGAATGGGTGAAAAATATCATAAATGCCAATTATTCTTAATCCATTTTGTCCTATTGTCTCAGGTGCAATATATCTATTAAAAATCTAAATATATATGATATATAATCACTCAAAAGAATAAAATTATATATTATTTATGATATAATAATATTAACTAATATAATACTGAAGGTAAGCTCTAGCTTGTTATTTGTAAGTTATTTTAATGCACCTGTATCATTTTGTTACAATGTTAGTAGAATTAAAAGCTTGGGACTTAGGGGTTAAAATAAAATAAAATTTTATTTTAAAAACCAAACTGCCTAACAAACAAATTCAATTTCAATCACACTTGCAAATTCAAGGTTTATATGGCAGAAAACACATGCAAAAATAGTGAAAAATTTTGAAAAATCAATAAATAGGTTTGCTTTAGCATAGAGTGATACTATATAAAACTATAAGTCAGAGGTAACAAGCTGGGCAGACACATGGGTGAACAGGACACAGACCTGGAACAGATTCTGGTATATTTGGTAATTTAATATATGGAATAGTTGTCATTTCAGTTCAGTGGATAAAGGATGCTTCGTTCAATAAAGATGCTTGAATAATTCAATCTCATTCCAGAAGAAATCAGAACAAAATCCTCTGCTATTATTTATAGAAATTTAAAACTGATGAAAAGACCTGAAGAATGAAATTTGAAAACCAACATTATTGGACAACGTTGTGGTGACTTTATATTCCAGGAGACTTTCTAAAGCAAGAGAGGAGCTCTCTATCCATGAATATATAATAATGGAAACATTCTGAATGCCAAAGAGTTCTGTAAACAAAGTCCTAAGGCAAGTGATCCTGTGGGACACACACATATAAATACATATGTGTTGCAGGCTTCATTGAAGAGAAAGCTACAAGTTGATAAGGAAAAGCAAACCAATCAAATGAAAAATGGACTAGATATGCAAACAGGTAGGATGCGTAATGGAAAACCCAACTGCCTAACAAACAAATTTTGAGATCAAGCTTAAAATAAGACACCACTTTTCACCCTTGAGAACAGAAACACAGGTAAAACCACAGCAATAACTTCCAGTGCTGACTAGCATGAGGGAGACACTCAAATTCACGCACAGCAAGCCTAAATGTTTTTAGAAAGAAATCCTAACATTATTAAGCTAAAAACATACATATGTTGGCACAGCCTGCCCACACTGGAATGCTAACCTACAGATAGAAAAACGCCAGCATGGACTGAGGAGATAGCTGGGTTGGTAGAGTACTTGCCTAGCACACAAGGCCCTGGGTTCAATCCCCAGCAGCACCACCACCACACACACACACAAAAAAAAGCGTACCAGCATATAAGATTTACAAGTATAAAGCTAGTTATTTACACATTGCTTATAGAGGTGAAAATGGACAACAACCAAAAAAACCCAAATGAAAACCTGGATAGCCATTTATATAGGTCTAAAAATTATACTACAGAGTAAAATTTAGCTATTAAAAGAATATGTTCACGATTTATTGCTCAGGAAATAAGCACTTTGCAGTGTACAATATGCATTTTACTCTGATGTGTTTGCCTTTTGAACATACCTAGCAGACCTGGATGATCCGTAGTTATTACTCTGGTAAGATTTGGGAATTAGGAGAAGAAAAAGTTTCCTTTTATATTGCCATATTCTTCCTTTGTTACAATAAGCATATCTTACTCTTGTAATGAAAAAAAAAAGAATAGAGAAGTTGAAGCACAGGGAACAATGAATATAATGTTGAACAGAGTTGAAGACCAAGCTGCTTGGGAAATAATTGAAAGAATATGTTTGGTCTGGAAAAATCAGGACTCTAGGAGGAAGGCTAGTCTTCAATCTCTTAAAAGACTTGTTTTTCAAAGGAAAGGAATTGGATTCACATTCCTGCTTTTGGAGGCAGAGGTAACAGCTGTGGATGTATGCTGTGAAGACATTTCAGCCCACTGTAAGGAAGGATATACTGAGGGTCCAATTTATTTGCAGCAGGGAACTGATGATCTGGCTATTCTTTGGAACCCCAATCTACCTGCAAACCATGGTGCACCACTCCAGGCAGCTGTACCTTGGGCAATGTCGTCCTGCCTCTGCAGGCAGGGCCGCTCCACCTTGTGCCCAGGCTGGGGCAGCTCCCGCTCAGGCTGCTTGGGGCACCTCCCTTCATTGAACACATGTGGCAGGTTGGCTGTGTGCACCTGTCGGAGTTGCTCATAGTCGCTTAGAGCAGCTGTCAGGTCCCAGTTTTTGCCTATGGATTAGAATGACAAGAATTATTATTAAGACTATTAATGGATGAATAATGATATCATTGTAGAAAAGAACCATGGCAAGAAAGGGTGCCCATTAGTGCATTAACTAATGACCTTCTCACCAGTAGTTCTCATTTTTCAAGGGGGGTAATTGTCTCCTGCAGTCTCTGAAAGTAGAATTTTTTACCCACAAATGATGACCTGAAATATGTGAATTTCTAGTCTCTAGTCTCATAGCCTTTCTCTCTCTCTCTCTCTCTCTCTTTCTCTCTCTCTCTCTCTCTCTCTCTCTCTC